ATTACGAAATTCCTCTGCTTCAATTAGATCGACGAAAGTGTCAAATTCGGATTGGGTTTCTTCGAGATGGGTATTCAAAAGCGGTCCAGAGATTCCTCAAAGAAGGAAAAGAATCAAGATCGAATCTTGAAAGTTTTCGTGAAGATCCTTCAGAAAAAAGAAGACCAGCTTCAATCTCTGGTTATGTCCCGGAAGATTCTTGAACACAGAATCAAGACACAACACAAGAATCACGAGGAACAACTCTCTCTGGTAAAAAAAAACCCCTCAAAATTTCCAGTCTTAAATTTTAGGTTTTTTTTTCCTCAGTTTCATTTTTTTTTTCTCCTTAAATTGTTCAGTTGAAAAACGAAATTAAAACGTTGGAGATGATTCGGATGGTTGAAATCGCTAATTTCAATCTATTGCTTGGAATGAAGAAAAGAGATGATTCTATATGCAAATCGAAATTAGGTGAGACTTGAGAGAGATTGTATGCTTCCTTGTATGTTTATATGATCTTCTCTGTTTTGAATGTGCTTAAAGTTTGCTCCTTTGACTAATATATTGGAAATTTTCAGAACATACTCAGGATGAATTGGATGATTTCAAAGCTTGGTTTGAATTGCTGACTCGGAACACAAATGTATGTTGAAAGTTTCAAACTTTGTTTTAAGTCGAATCTTATCGAGTTTTATAGAGATGATGATGATGATCTTATTCCTCTGTTTTTGCAGAAGGAAACTTGTAACTCTGGAGATGCAGATGATTGTAAATCACTAGAATTCAAAATTAGGAAACTGAAACTCAACTTTGAAAATCTTGCTTTTGGTAAGAGAAGTGATGTATCCGCTTGGAGTCAATTCAAAGACATGGAAAGCGGATTCACCGATAAGTTAAGGAGGAAAGACGAAGAGATCAAGAAGCTTAAATCGTCTAATAATGAGAAAGATAAGATTATTGCAAGATTGATGGCTGAAATGGAAGACAATGGTAGTAAGAAGAAGGCTGGATTATTAAAGCCTTTAAGGAGGTCTCCTAGGCTCAACAACGATGTTTAACTCGATGCGCGCAACTTGTAACAGTAGATACTCAGTGGAATCAACTTGACTGAGAAAGAGCTCTCTGCTGTAATTATTCCAGAAGCTAATTGGATATATAAGCTAACAAATGTTGTGTTTGTATTTGCGGATTTATCTTTGAATGGTTTTTGATTAGGGAAGCAAAAAGATTGAACAATGTTCTAAAGTTGAAGTCTATTCATCTCCTTGATCCGTTCAGATCTCTTTCTTTTACTTTGAGACCATCCACAATGCAATATTTTTAAACCCGATTAACATATAGTTCTTGCAAATACCATTTTTAAAATATTTTTCGATCATCGTAATGAAATGGATGTCAATGATAACTTATAAACTATAAAAAACTTATATTTTTGAGATTTGTTTTTTGAACCATAGCAAGTATGATGAATTTTAAATTGAGGTATTTGCGATTAGTTTCGCATCTAACGGATATCGAATTTTAGTATTCGTGTTTGCTAAATAAATTTACGGGTTATCTAGATTAAAACGAAAATATTGGAAGAGTTTTGAAAAGAAATAGAATAACGTTTTTTAAAAGGAAGAAAAAAAAATGTATTTTTTAAAGTCTTGAGAATAAATTAATCATAGCAAATTGGGAATTAAAACATTTTTGGGCTTTTTTTGTGAATAACAAAAAAAAATTAGGAAAAATGAGGTATATGGCAATTTTTAGACCATTAAATTTAGGATTTTTTGTTGTATTTTTGGCAAACTTTCCCAAACATTTTTTACCCAACGAATTGACAAGAAACTAGATGGCTAGAAAGGTAACCACGACGACGAAAACTAAAGAAACCCAAAAAAATCAAAAACAAGAAAACAATGAGAAAAAAAGGCATGAATTTTACATAAAACTGTATCGACACGTGTCATAAAACCAGACCATCAAATGCTATGTGATAT